AAACAATAGAAAACAATAAAATTAGCATAATTTAGCTGCAGTATATAGTGGTATTTATGTTGCACAGTTTTAGTGTTTTTACTCTATAAATGAATGTAAAAAATAGGCATATAAATATTCAATTTACCTTTATCAGCGAGTTGATTATTCATTTTCTTGTGTTCATCATTTATGCTGGATTCATGTGCCTCCAAGCGTGAAGTTTTTGCGTCGAGTTCTTTCTTCTGCTCGTTTAGACCTCTCTTTCTCATATTGATGTTATAAAATGGTGAAAACTCCCAAAATGGGTTACTGAACAATCATTATTGCATCTTCCCGCATGGCCATTAGTTTTTGAACATTTCCGGCCTTTTCGGCAATAGTCTGGCGTTTTTAAAGCAGACGAAAGCGACATTGTCTATGTGCGAACTCTGTCTTATCCGCCATCTTGGATTTTCGTCTTTGCACAAGTGACTTTACGGAGTTGTAGCGACTTCATGATAAAATCTTAATCCCTAAAATATACATTTTCTGGTAGCTATATGTCTAAACTAAAACATTGGCTTAACTTTAAACAAATGTGTTGCGTCCTTGAAACGACCGTTCCCACGCTAAGTAATTTGATTCCGGCACGTTATTGAAGTATAGAGCGAAAACGCTGAACATTTAACCATCTTTAATTACTGAACTGTTATAGTTATAGGTACAAGTACACAGGTACAATACAGGTTCAAGTACAGGTTTGAGTAGAGGTTTGAGTACAGGTTTTCTGAAATAAAAATGCTACATTACAAACAAGAAAAAGCGACAAATTACAAGCAAAGAAAATACATACCGAACTCTTGACAAACGTGCAACAGAATGCATAAATTAACATAATTACATAAATTTCCCAAGAAACCTTGCGCTATGGTAGCAACAAAATGCCACCAGTAAATTTTTAGAATTGTTGGATTACATGTCTAAAAAATGCTATAATTCAAGACTTTTGTAAAATACTTGAGTATCGATGATCCCTTGGGGGGGAACCTAAGTCAAACCTTGAGATATATCTATTCTCCACCCTCCCGACCCATATTAAAGATAACTTGTCAACTTCTGAATTGGCGGGAAATCATTTTTAGCTCAAAAGAGACCACGGAAAACCCTAAATTTTAGAACAACCTCGMGCGTTTTGAAAACCTGTAATACTCCAAATGGAATCTCAGGTATTGAATCTATTAGTTTATTGTATTTTGTTTATTCAAATCATTAAACATCCTGTGAAAAACTCATCAAAACAGAAGAATATTTTCAGAATCACTTGACCCAGTCCTTTCCCCTGGCTACAATCACGTGACCTCCTATGTCAATGGGAGGAATCCTGGGTGAAAGGAGCCAGCGTGCAAAGACAGAAGTTTCCAACCTACTTCAAGTTACAATCTCATCAACTTCTGAACCAGGCATCACAAAGTCACTTCACGTCTACACAGTTACCAAACCTTGCAGCAACGCAAAAACCGTCTCAAAACGCACTCTGGAGGAATTCTCACACTTGAAGCCAGTTGCAAACAAGCTCCACCTCTCCGGAGGGACAGTTGACTTACTCATCGGAACTGACTTTACGGATGCATTCGTAGACGTACATACACTTTCAGGATTACCAGGAGAACCAATTGCAAAACGTAACTGTTTTGGTTGGTACACTCTCGGACAGTTCAACCCAACAGG